TTTTCTGACTTGGTTCTCTTTGTTTTTTGGGGACATCCAAAAGGCCTGATTTTTCTCCTTGTGTCCTAACAGGCCTTCCTGCTACCTTCCAAATGGGTAAAACTGTTTCTTACTCTAGGTCTAATGCTTTTCTTAGTGCCCAGAGATTATGTCTAAAACTTAAGCAAATAATTATAGTAGCCTAAGAACCTTTAACACAGAGCCTCGGGCTCCACAGATGCAGCTGTTGAGCCCTGCCTTTTCAGTGTTAAACGACTGAGACCTGGAAAACACACTCTAAAGTGACCCCTTCCAGGGGTAAAGGTACTGAAGACAGATTGACAAAAGACAGTTTTACAGATTTCCCAAGTCAATTGTTCACTCCAAAGACAGAGATAGAAATTTCTTTGTTTGTTAATGTTTTGTCATATGTGTTTATATTTGTTTTCATGTAATTGTATGTCATCTTATGTTAAGACTACATAAAACTCAGTCTACCCTCAGAATTTCCCACAGTAATTGAGTAAAACACTTGTGGCCACTTAACATATCAACAGTTTTCAAAATATCTAGATAAGCTTACTCATTGTCATTGTATATGATAAAAGTGGCTGTTTTTAGTTTAAATAACTAATAACATATTTTAAGGTAAGTTTTAACATAATATTGAAAGACTGAAACCATAGCCTATCTACTTGTGATTGCATCTTTCAAGAAACAGGCTTTTCAAGTTTCTTATCAGGTAAGCTTTAAAACAAGGAAAGAAGAAAGGACGGAGTAGAAACCAATCTGTTTCAGCCTACTTAAATTTTAACAATCAGGCTAGGCTCCATGTCTTTAAAAATAAAAACTCCTATGCTTTATTTGTATTAAGAGTATATCTTTAAAAGTACAGATTTAGATTAAGGATGACTATAAAAGATTATCTGATCAGCAGTCTAACTTACAGATAATACACAATCTTTGGTATTTTTAAAAGGATCTATATATCTGGCTATTAGGGTGTATTGTGTCTGCCTCAGTGGTGATTTTATAATGTTTACATAATACCAGATTGACTTAAAATTAAATGGTCATGTTAATTAAAACTGTCAACTTAGGCCATATTCATTTTAATTAATAAGGTAAATTTAAAAATTAGATAAACAGTCTAGGTTGAAATGGTACTTGGTCAGTCATTCTCTCAGCTCTGATCCTGTAAGTAGTCTAAAGATGCTTCTATTGCTGGAAAATAAGCTAGCTTTTAAGACCTGGGGGCTTCTGCTCCAGGGTTCAGCTTCTCTTGGACAGCTGTCATCTGGATAATTATCTTCTAGGCTCTGTTATTCCTAAACTAAAATTGAGAAAATTAGTGCTATGCTTTATACTTTCAGCTTTTTTTCTTTCTTTCTTTCTTTTTTTTTTTTTTTTGAGATAAGGATTCTCTTTGTAGCCCTGGCTATCCTCGAACTCACAGAGATCCACCTGCCTCTGCCTCCCAAGTGCTGTGATTAAAGGCATGTGCCACCACTACCCTGCTGCTTTCAGCTTTCTTTGAATAATATATCTAAAAAGGACTTTAAGTTTATCAAAATAAATTTAATGTATTATACTAAGCCTTTTAGGCTTCTAATTAAGAAACTGAGTCTTAAGTGAGATTTACTTGAAAAATGTTCTTGCCAAGCTCTGTTTTACAAAACTCAATTTTAAAGAAAGGTTTGTTTTTCAGCACTTGGTAACTGACCTTCCGGGTGTTCAGTAACCATACTTGAAGATGTATGTTAATGTAAACACAAAGACTAAAGGGGCAGGCAGTATTTTATCCCTTGCCCCTAGCACATCTGAGTTCCATGGGATGATGGATACTTCTCACCTACAGCTCTGCTAACACATCTGTCCTGTTGATCCAGAGATTGGACTCAAAACCAGTATACATTCTACAAACAGGAGGGTCAGCACAGAGGAAAATGTCTCCAATGCTTCCAAGGGAAACCACATAGTCAGCAAATAACGTAGATAAGGAAAATTAAAAGAGCCATGGGCTCCTCGAAAGTCCAAAGTTACCCCTGTGGACCAGACCCTTGTCTAGCCTTAATAATAAAAAAAGAAAAAGTTAATTTTGGGTTATTTACATTTGATTATAAATGCCCAACAGAAAAGTAGAAAGAATTTCTAGGAGTCTTAGTTGGGGGTCATCCTTTTGGGTTCCAGGTGTTTTCCCTGGCACCACCAGGTTTCTCCCTAACCCCAAACTGGTCCTGCCTATCAAGACATCTCTTTTGTTAATGCTTCCCCTCCAACCTGCCTCTTGCACCTAGCCTACCCAGCCCACCTAGCCAGCCCAATGAGCTCCCTCTAGTTCCCACCCCTCTATCTGCCCAACCCCCACCCCCAGTTTACCCAGGAGATTGGTTCTACTTCCTCTTCTCAGGGAAATTCATGCATCCCTCTCTGGGCCCTCTTTGTTATCTAGACTCTCTGGGCTGTAGATTGTATCCTTTACTCCTGATAGCCACCTATAAGTGAGTTCATACCTTGTTTGCCTTTCTGGGTCTGGGTTACCTCACTCAGAATGATTTTTTTCTAGTTCCACCCATATTTTTTTTTTTTTTTTTTTGCAAATTTCATGAGGTGTGTGTGTGTGTGTGTGTGTGTGTGTGTGTGTGTGGTTTTGTTTTTTGTTTTTTGTTTTCTCAGTTGAGGGGTATCTAGGTTGTTTCCAGGTTCTGGCTATTACAAATAATGCTACGAGCAAGTGTGCTTTGTGGTATGATTGGGCATCCTTTGGGTATATGCCTAAAATTGGTATAGCTGGGTCTTGAGGTAGACTGATTCCCAATTTTCTAAGGAACCTTTATGCTGATTTTCAAAATGTCTGTACAAGTTTGCACTCCCACCAGCAGTGGGGGAGTGTTCCCCTACTCCACAACCTCGCATCAGCTGTCATCAGGCTCCTAACAATGGTGGAGAGGGTGCCTGAACTGGCCATCTACTGTAAGCAGATTGGTGACTTCCTTAGTTGCCATCAGAGATTCTCTATCAGGTAACTGTTGGAAACAGAAACATCGATCCACAGACAAGCTCTGAAAGTCTTGTGGAGGAAAGAGAGGAGGAATTATATCAGCCAGGGGGGGTCATGATGGAGGAATCCACAGAGACAGCTGGCCTGGGCTCACAGGAATTCATGAATGCTGGACCAACAGTCAGGGAGTGTGGATGGGACTCACCTGGGCCCTCTGCATCTGTGTGACAATCATGTAGCTTGGTCTCTTGGTGGGGCTTCTGGTGGTGGGAGCAGGCCCTCTCCCTGGCTCTTGGCTGGCTTTTGGTAGCCTGTTCCCCATGCTGGATTGCCTGGTCCACCTCAGCATAGGAGGAGGGGCTCAGTCCTATCTCAGCTTGACGTGCCATGCTTTGTGTAGGCCCATGGAGGGCCTGTCCCTTTTTGGATGGAGATGGAAGAGGAGATGAGAGGAGAGGAGGGAAGGGGAACTGGTTGGTATGTGAAGTGAATGGAAAAAGATGTTATTTGAATGGAAAAAGATGTTATTTAAATAAAAAATAAAACATGAGAAACTGAAAAAAAGAAAAGTAGAAACAAAAAATAAAATTATTGGTAATAATACAAAATTAGAATTTAAAAGAAACAGTAGTTCAGATTTTATACAGGCCTTCAAATTAAATCCTGTTTATGGGCTATTGGCATGCTAGGTAGCATTGGCTGTAGCTATAATACCATGATAAGTTCTATTTATATGAATCTGTTTAGGTAGATTTTTGTAAATCTGTCATCAATTGTAACTTTACTCAAGTTTTGATTTTTCCTCATTATTTTTCTTTTGACACTGTTGGTACTCAGACTTTATAGGCTTCTTTCTATATAAGGATTTTCTAGAGGAGCAGAACTGGTAGAATGACTATATAGAGAATAAATGTTATATATAATGTAATATTTAATTATAATAAAACTTATATATTTAATTATATATAAATTGTTATAATTCAATTCTATATTGCATATACTACTATATAGTACATATGCTATATAATATGTCAGGTTCATATATTAATATATATAATGTATAATATATTTAATTATATATTTTAATATTATATGTGTTGTAATTTTTAAAAAGTGACATGAGAGAAAAAGATACCATGAGACAGAGCTCATATGGAGGGGTTTTTTCCCCCTAGGGGAAAGGGAATGGGAAAAGGGGGGAGGAGAGGGAGGAGACCAGAATTTGGGGATAGGAGCAGTAGAAGAGAAAAGAAAGGTGGAGAGAGATTGGGGAGAGGGAGACAGAGAGACAGAAACAGAAGGAGAGAAAGATGGAAGGTGGGCAGAGCCCTTTTAAAAGACAACACAGTGAGTGTGCACAGGTGGTGTTCTTAGTGGCTGCAGCTGACATCTCCTGGCAGAACCCCAAGAGCAGGCCAGTACCGATACCTGAAATAAATATACATACATACATACATACATACATACATACATACATACATACATATTATTTATTAGGACTGGCTTACAGGCTATGATCCAGCTAGTTCAACATGGCTGTATCCTAACAAAAAGTTCAAGAATCCAGTCATTGTTTAGTCCACAAGAGTGCATGTCTCTCAGCTGCTCTTCATTATACTCTGGAATCCCAAAGGAATAGGTTCTAATGCCAGTGAAACAAATGAACTTGCCAGTGAGGGAGAGAACAAACAAGCAAAGGGCAAAAGCTTCCTTCTCCTATGTTTAAAGGTGAATCTTCCCACCTCAAAAGATCCAGATTATAGGTGGGTCTCCCCACTTCAAATGATTTGATTAAGCAAAATCCTTCACAGGTGTACCTAACCATTTGCGTTTCCGTTAAATCAGATGTTGTCAAGTTGACAGCCAAGAATAGCCATCACACTTTCTTTAGCGTATTTCCATTTTGTTAAAAAGCAAAGCCCAGTGAGTCTTCACCTTAACTAATCTGAAAATAACAAAATTCACAAGTCTTCTTGTTGCTGAGTGATTTTAATCAGTGGCCTTATATTTTTTATTTAAGACCTTAGCAAAGCTATGTCTCAAGATGGTGCTTCTCAGTTCCAAGAAGTCATTCTCCAAGAACTAGAATTATCTGTGAAGAAAGAATTAGAAAAAATACTTACAACAGCAACCTCACATGAGTATGAGGTAAGGACTTGATAGTGTCTTTTGCTTTATGTGTCAGCATGCTCAGTTGCTGTGAGTGGTGATTTTTACTTGGAATAATCATGGGATGTAACATCAGAAAGTTAGCATTGTTGAACAGCCAAGGATCTTTAACATTTGTTTGTAGAGTAAATCTCTCTCTCTCTCTCTCTCTCTCTCTCTCTCTCTCTCTCTCTCTCTCTCTCTCTTTCAAGCTGAGGAAATTTCCTAAGTCACCAAGAGAGTATGGACAGAATTAAACTTTATTTTGTGTTTTAATATCGTTGGGTAGAAAAATGGTTACTGTGTTTAGTCAGATCTATAAGGAGTTAGTCTGACAACCATGTACTCGTCATGCCTTTTCCCCAAGGCCAAGTCTAGCAGAACTGTGCTATTGTGACAACCCTCAAGTTTCCCAGAGTTGAGAAGCTTTACTTTTCTGTTAGCACATTATCTTTTGTTTTTCAATTTGTTTGTATTTAGTGTTTTGAGGTTAGTTATGTTTTATTCCTTCTTTTGTTCTTTTGGTGACAATTTATTTGCACTCAGAAGTAGTGAAAGATACTGGTATGTAATTGGGAACATGTTGAAATTCCTAGGAACCAAATATTGTCCAGGTCATATAATTGAGTGGTAGGATAGAGGAGAAGTTTGATTTGTATGTTAAAGAATCCTTTAACTATAATTCCTTGTAGTTTTCTACTTTAGTTTCAAACAGACCTTAAAAATTGGTTCCACTTTATATTCTGATAGTGTAAGAATTTCACTTAAAGTTGTTTAAAGTATAGTCTGTATCTAGTTTTAATACCTGTTGAACAGTCTGCTGTTTATAACAATTGCTTCTATTTTCATAGCATACTAAAAAAGATCTTGATGGATTTCGGAAGCTATATCATAGATTTTTGCAAGAAAAGGGACCTTCTGTAGACTGGGGTAAAATCCAGAGACCTCCAGAAGATTCGGTAAGTTTTAGATAAAGTGTAAGAAAATTCAAGGTAATTTGGGTTGTTGCTTTAACTTTGTAGGTCGGTTGTGAAGACTTAAAAGAACCATATCAGTAAACACTTTGCTTTCAGTGTTTGCTTTCAGGAATAGTAGTCTTATTCCTTTATGTGGAAAAGTTCTTAAAAATTTAAATTTATAAATTACACGTTTCTTAAAAAAAAAAAAAGAGAGAACAAAACAAGCAAAATCTCTACTAGTCATCTGAATTGTATTCTCTTATTTTTAACACTGAAGTTAAAATTCCTCTTGATGAGTTGGTGAAGTGATTCATTAGGAGGAGGAACAGTGCTTGCCTGAAAGTCTAAATACCTGAGTTCAGTTCCTAGAACTCACAGTGGAAGTTGTTCTCTGACCTCTACATTTGTGTAATGGTTCATGTACACAGACACAGACAGACACACACACACACACACACACACACACACACACACAAAATTAATTTTAAAAATTCCTCTTCTCTATAATGACAATTATAATTAGCTAGCAGGGTTTTTTGGTCATGGTGGTGGGGTCCCTAATTTTGGTCTTTGTTTTACTTGGCCCTAGCCACATTAATTATGATTTATTTATTCATTTATTTATATATTTGCTGTTAGATGGTAAAATTAATATTTTCTTTCCCAAAGAAAGTGAGAATTTTTCTGTATAGGTATATTCTTAAAAAGCATAGATTCATTCAGTTTTTAAAAGTATTCGGGAACAGATCTAACATAATGATAGATTTAGTCACTTTAAATACTTAGAAGTTTTGGCTTAAAATTATTCCTAAGTGAATAACTTGAGTTGACTACTATATGGCAGATTCTGGCTGCAGTCCCAGGAGCCCTACTGCTACAGTGCCCACACTGCACACACTACAGAGCCTGTTGTCAGCCAAGGGCAGAGCACTAGCCCCTTTGTGCAGCAGCCCATGTGCACCTCTAGTGTCATGCTGGGGTTAAAGCATCCATGGGTGGGTTTGTGCTGAAGGATGAATGAGCTCTAGAAGCTCAGTGGGCAGTGCCCCTTCACAGTTTCTAACCTGTGGACTGAAGGCCAAACTTGAGGTTTAACAGGTGGCAGGATTAGCTGGTGGTGTACAACTTGTCCTGTAGTCTCATATGTGGACAGTGAGCCAGAGGATCACTTGATCTTAAGCATCATTAAACTTGGGCAACATTCTGAGAACTCATCTTTACTTCCCCTCCCTGTGCCATAAAGTAGAAATTTCCTTATATTAATTTTGTTTTACAGGTACCTACCTTTATCAAAAACTGCCACTAAAATAGTTTCAGAAGAAAAAAGAGCCTCATTTGTCCAGTTAGTCCAGATTTAGTTCTAAAGTTGTGATTTTTTAATTCTTTACATCCTAGATGAACTTAACCTTTTGAACAGGAAAGAAAACACATGTTTGTTACTTTTGTTGTCTGTTAAGATTCAAGAGTCTGCTTTGCTAGTGGAGAAATTTCTGTACTGTGAAAGATTGTAGTATATAGGGAGTGTTCTTAAAGTGAGGATTGGAGGATGGAGAAGGAACTCAGATCCATCCTGGGACTTTATGCACCCACTTCCCAACAGCATTCTGCTAACTCCTTTCAGGAGGCCATGCCCATGTAGTGAGCCATAATTGTTGATGTAGATGCACAGTTCATGTGAAAAAGGAACAAGTAGAAAAGAAAATACATTCTGCATAAGAGATGCTTTTTGCATGGCCTTATGTCTTTGTTGTCTATAAAAGTTTAAGTTTCCACTTAAAAATATCATTCAAAAGAAGCCCTGGACTTGATATGCACTTGTAATCCCATAATCTCATATGCTATGATGTCAAGGATTTTAGATTTCAGAAGCAAAATTTATTTGTACTTTGTCTCGTGTGTAGTTTTGCTACCAACATTTGCAAATAGTTCATGGATTAATTAATATTCTTTCACCTGGTTCTTCACTCAGCCTTCCCTGCTTACCCCCAACAAATTCTTCTTACATCTTAGAGATGATAAGAGATAACAATTTTCCTTTCAAAAATACCATTTCTACATAGTTAACAGTCTTTTAAAGTGCAGGTAATAATTATCTTTCTGGCCAAATTGAAATTACCATGGAAAACAATGATTTACAAGTGCCATTGTTAATGTCAATCTAGCTTCAAAGTGTACAGAAACACTTGCCATCCTAGGTATGTACATAAACACTGTCATCCCAAAGGCTCTTTGGTATTGTGTGTGTGTGTATATGTGATTGTGTATACATGTGAGTGCAGGTGTATACAATTGTATGGAGGTGTGAGGACAGCTCTCTTCTGCCACCTTGTGGGATCAGGAGATTGAACCCAGGTTGTGGGGCCTGTGTGCACCTCTACCCACTGAGCCATCTTGCAGGCTTGCATCTGTTTTTGAACATAGTTTGGAGTATTGCCATAGTTTGAAAATAAAGTTTCATTGAAACACAGACATGTATACCTCGTCTGTAGGTCCTGTCTTACTGTAATTGCACAGTTGAATAGTTAAAATGGAGGCATTATAGGTTACTGTGATACATAAACTATTCAGTGGCTGAAAAACATCTAGTAAAAGCCGATTAAGTACATCAAGTTCAGACTGTTGAGCTGTACAACCAGGGGTGGTTACAATATTTTTTGTGGAGCATGTGGAATTTGTATATAAAACATATGTTCCCTGTCCTTTTGAAAAGCCATCTGTAAAAGCATTAAAAGCAATCTCTGAAGATCCCAAGTAACATTCTGATGCAACCTGTCAATTGTTATCAGTGTGGAACAAATAACCTGCATTTTATTTAGTGGCACAATGATTTCTGTAGGCTCTTTACCAGTAAGTTGTTTAAGACATGTTCTTCCCACCATTAATAAGTCTTTAATTTTTTGTAAGTAAGTTACAGTTTGTTGTGGAGACTTATGACATACATACACTTTTATAATATCTTGTTGATATATAATTCTAGCAAGTAATAAGGAGAAAAGATAAGTAATTGATTAAGGAGCAGGGGAGTAATTCTGTAAACTACCACTTTATCATTATTTAATATGCTAATAACCTGCCCAGCTTCAGGTGTTACATTTCTTACAGAATTTAAATGAGGGTTTCCAGAAAGCAAATTAAAGAGTGGACTCAAATCATCAGTAGTGATGGGCAAGATAGGAGTGTATTCAATTGACATTTTAAATTTTGCTCTTTTAGTATATTTATCATGAAAGTTAAGCATTCATGTAAGTGTTGGTAAGATGAGCAGTAGAGGAGAACATCATCCATATACTGAATGATCAATAACACAAGTTAGCTGGTGCTGGTTCAAACTTCTAGAATCTGACCCTGAGCAGTTTGTGATATGTATCTTTAAGTACAGTACAGTTTGGAAAAATGATTTCCTGGTGTAATACAATCCCTGTGTACAAGGAGGCATAATTACATGGAAATGCTTCTCAAACAAAGTACGTGCCACTTCCATAAAGATGGGTTCTAGAGATAGGCTACATGTATTATCTTAAGGGTCTAGGGGAGGATCTAATGGAGTCTTGGTCATATAGATAGTATAGAGGTAATTTGGGTTCTTAGCCACCCCTGATTCTAGTTGGGGGAGATTGGGGGAGTCCCTGGCCATACAGATAATGCAAAGGTCACCTAGACTATTAGCCACCTCTGGTCCTGCGTATGGGAGGTTGGTATGGCCTGTCCCTACAGATAGCATAAATCACCAGGTTATTAACTACCAGTATTCTTGGTGGAAAAACAGGTTTTACATTTCTCCCTTTGAGAAGACAGCTCTACATGTTTAACATTCCTGGTTTCCATAGTGCTTATCTGTGAGGGCAAGGACCTTTATGCTCCCAGCAGATCTTTAGTATGTGCATGTGAGACACAGACAGAGAAAGGGGAAGAAAAGAGAGGAGAGGAGAGGAAAGGAGAAGAGAGACAGAGACTACTTGAGATCATGGTGTGCATGTGCAGGTCAGAGGACAACCTCTAGCATCAGCCTTGATCTTTACCTTCCACCTTGTTAAGATGGGGTCTCTAGCTTATGGGCCAACTAGTTCTGTTTCTCATCTCCAAAGAAGCATGTCTAACCATCCAGTTGTATCTCTCATGTAAGAAATTTATGTCAGACAGTTTAAAAATAAAAATGGCTCTGCAGTTCTTCTGTTCTATGTCTGTATCTAGTAGCATGATGAGGGGATTTCCACTGATACTGGGGGTGTCACACAAATTCTAATTGGTATTAGTAATAAAAACCAGAGACAGATATTGGCATTAAAGCTGAAGATCAGAGAACTAGTCCAGCCACTAGAGAGTTCTCACCTCTACCAATGCTCAGACCCAAGGGGTGATCCTGTCCTCAGACTGCATCTCCAGACTGCATCTGTCTCCACCAAACCTCAGACTGTCTTCTGTCTCCTCCTGCCTTATATTCCTCCCTAATGCTGGGATTAAAGGTATGGGATCTCGAGTACTGAGATATCTTTGTGTGAGCTCTGTTTCTCTTTTAGACTGGATCATTCATGTAGGTCAGGATGGCTTTAAACTAACAGAGATCCATCTGCCTCTGTCTCCCAAGTTCTGGGATTAAAGAAAGGTGTGTACCACCACTGCCTGGCCTCTATGGCTAACTAGAGTGGCTAGCTTTGCACTTTTGATCTTCAGGCAAGCTTTATTTGTTAGGTCATAAACAAAATATCATCACAGAGAGGATTATTTATATGAAGCAAAGTGAGCAACCCATACTCTTACCCTTTCTGCCCTGAAATTCTTTTTTGGGAGTGTGGGCGAGACATTTTGACTATAAGTTTATTATAAGGCCCGGCAGAGTAGGGAGACTAAGAAGAGGAGAGGAACAGGGTAAATGGCTGACCGCCATGGCCAGTTGCCATAGAGAAGCAGAGCGTGTAGGTGAGAGAGTAGAGAGAAAGCAGAGAGCGTAAACGCTTCTTCAGTTTTGAGTAACTGAATATCCACTTGCCTCAAGATAAAAA